GTATGCTTACAGTCAGTTAATTTAAGATAAAGACACAATTGTCGCCGGGTGAAAATCATCACATTTTGTGGAGATAAGCTATACAGAAATGATTAAACCATTTCAGAACTTAACAGAGGAGAAAAACTAGAATGTATAATGCTCCTTGTTTACAAAAACCAACCAAAAACAATAATCTTTGAAACTTACATGTGAGATTGCACGGTACTGCAGGTCATAGGCACCATGAATTATGATTTAGACAACTAAAAAAACACTGCAATTGTACACTTATACAGCAGAAAGCATAACTTCACCTTGAGCAGTAACTGACATGAAGACGTACTTCGAGCACCTGCTCTAGCTCATTTAGCCAGTAAGATGAATGAAATTACACAACAGATCTCAATCTTCCCTTAAAAGACTTAGCCAAGAGCAAGTCATGAAGGAACATGGAGATGTTGTACTGAGAGACATGGTGTAGTGGGAAATATTGGTGATAGCTGGACGGTTGGACTGGATGATCTTGGAGGTCTTTTCCAACCTTGGTGATTCTATGATTCTATGACTGCATGAAGCTCATTCTGACAAAACCACGTGAAGTAGTGCCTCTTTGTTTAGTAAGAAAAAAGAACCACAGTACAGCTGATCCAAAGTTACTGCAAACTTTAGAGCCATCATAAACCAAAAAAAAAACCTAAAAAAAAACCAGATACATAAACCAGGAAGCACTCTTCCAACATTACTAAGAAATATTATCCTAAAACAAATGAACAAACAAAAAAATAGAACGAAAAACACTGAACTCAGCTGTACACTGCACTGCACAGACTATTTTACATTGCAAAAATCGATCTCCAGCAATAGCTAAATGTTTGGAGAAAAACTCCTATAACTGACACTCCTGCTACAAATCTGCAGCTCTCAGCAATTCTCCTAATGCGGAGGAGAACTCTCTCAGCATGTGGAAATCCTGTATTCGTATTTCCATATTCAATAATTACCAATGAAACTGCAGTTTACAATTGCCATATCCTCTCTCCTCCTGCTCACAGTAACAGCCCCCAAAGTATCTTGTGCTCTACAAGTTCTACAGTTTCCTTCATTTACTGCTTGAATGAAAACCTCCATCATGTTAAGCATGATTTGATATAGAAGCAATTGCTTTCTATGACAATTTTATATTAATTGTCACTTCTTTTTACATACATACCAGTCACCTTCTCCCCACCCAAGCTGAAAAAATGTTAGGTATTATTCAAATGCCCACCATTCTGTGCCTTTGACCAGACTTGAGTATCCTTCAAGTATGGGAACATCACCAGTACACTGTAGTAGTATTACACACTTTAAGTTGGTCATAAATTCCCATCTTTCAAAATCCCCTAAATTGTGTTTATCTTTTCAGTCACACTGGTGCTGAGATGGTGCCTGCAGGCTCACAACTATTCTCGAATGAAACAGTAACAGCCTGCGGTGCTACATGCACAGCTGAGTTTCACCCAGCTTCATCATTCATTTATGATGAGAGGTAATGACTAAAGTTGTAGTAAGGGGGGTACAGGTTAGATGTTAGAAAAAATTCCTCTCAGAAAGAGAGGTGAGGCATTGGAACGGGCTGCCCAGGGAGTCATTGTCCCCAGAGGCATTCAAGAAAAGAATAAACGTGGCAGTAAGGTTTAGAGGGCATGGTGGTGATGAGTTGACAGTTGGGCCGGATGATCTTAGTGGTCTTTTCCAACCTTAATGAGTCTACGACTATCACCACTCTACATGCATCAGTCCTGACCTTCATCTGAATGAGCTGTCCAAATACCTATGATGGGATCTCTTTCTCTGTATTTTAGAGGTCTACAGCACAATCTTGTGTGCCTGAGCTAATTTTCCTAATTCCTTTTATACCCGTAAAATCATTCAGCAGGCGCTCAAAATAGGACAGATGACTCACACCACTCAAATACATACTTCCCTCCAGTGACTTTCTGAAGTGAATCTCAAGGAGCAGTTCAGATGTAAGCTCTAAAATGCTTTTTGTTTTGAATTCCTCAGTTTTTTACAGTGAGCTTTAGTTTTAACAACTTGAATAACTATGTAACAATAACAAAATGTCAGAAGTATCCCTCCTTCCAGATGGTTTCTGTGCATGTTGAACAGAAGAGACTATTATGGAGCCCACCACTAACCTCCTTTTATAATAAAAATTAAATATTTATTCCTGCCTTCTCTTTTCTATTTAAAGAATGCAATTGCTGTTGCCACCCTTTAGTCCTCAGCACCATGGATGAATAAAGGCTGCACTCAGCAGTTCCTCATTCACCAACGTTATGTCTGACTGTTTCCAGATCACTTGAGTGAGGACCACTTGGTTTTAGTCCTTTGTCATTATTCCTCTCGAGCTCAAGTTTGGTTTTAAAATGACGGATTTTTATATAACTAAATTCCATTTCACTGATACTACTGAGACAATTAATCATTTATTCTCCATGAATTTATTCCCTCATGCAAAGGAAACTCTTTGTAGTTGTAACCATTTATAGTTAACGCTAGAAACAAGGACATCTAGGTTGGAAAAGGCCTTCAAGATCAAGTCCACCACTAAACCATGCTCCTAAATTCCACATCCACAATCTCTTAAAATACATCCAGGAATCACGACTCTACCACTTCCACAGGCAGCCCTCTTCAATGCCTAACCTTTCTAACCATGAAGAAATTGTTCATGATATCCATTCCAAACCTCTCCTGGTGCAACTTGAGGCTTTTTCCTCATGTCCTATCACTTGTCACCTGAGAAAATGCCTGAGAAAAGAGACCGACACCTTTCTCACTGCAACTTCTTCTCAGGTAGCTGTAGGAGCGACGCGGCCCCCCCTCAACCTCCTCTTTCTCAAGCTAAAAAGCCCCAGTTCCCTCAATTGCTCTTCAAATGCAAGTACTTCACTAGTTCTTCTCTCAAGCAGGTACCTTTCCTAAAAGCTCTATTTACACCTTGATGGGTTCCTTTTTAACATAACATTTCAGCAGGCAGCATCCAGTGAGTCTAATCCCTGTTTTTTTTTTTTTTACTTTAGCAGACTCAAAATATTGAGTCAATGTAATTCCCTCAAGATCCTTTTTCAATCTTTCTTATCAAAGCTTACTTCCACAGCTTGCTGGGCTCAGGCTCTTTTCCATTCCTCTTACCTACATGTGGCAAGCACTTTACTTTTCTGTTCAGCCATACTTAGACTTATTTATAATAAAAGTTTTATCCCATTTTGGGAAGGTATTCTCCCCTTAAACTGTTTTGTCAGTGGCCTGTATTTGCAGTTAACATTTAGTGCTGGAATTTCTTAACAGCCTGCAAGCATCTTCTCTGCAGCAGAATTTCCAGGTCATAGCCTGAACCAGCAGTTGAACAGCAGGTGAAAAGGTGTGGCTAACCCAGAGAGCTCTGGTGTAAGCAATGCATGTGAGTGACTCGAAGGGCTGGAGCTTGGATGCATCCCTCCTAACCTTCATTAATGGGTTAGAAGCTGAGGGAGCAGCATCTCTCTGGATAGAGACTGCACTCTGCTTGGGCTGTCATTGGCTCACCCCTTCTAATTACCAATTTCCCTTCTTTTTTACTTGCTATTGCTGTGGTGCTTGTATCCTATTAGAAGGCACTATCATCATCTTCTTTTGTCAAATAATACTTAAAAAAAAAGAAGAAAAAAAAAAAAAAACAGATACACACATTTCTCAGAGAAGTCCAAATGGTCTTTTAGGTGCATTCAGAAGAATCCAAACAAATGAATATTTCTGGCTTTGGGAGCAATCACCATTAAGACTAAGATCTGATAGCATCTTCAGGAGCTCCGAAGAGGGAGTTTTACTGATACCAAACTCAGCAAAAATGAATTAGTCTGGTTATTCTTTTCAGAGACATGAAAATATCAGTCCACAAACATTTAAGCAAGCCTGTGAACTACTTTGTGGAAGCAGTCATGTGAAGGCATCAGACAAAACACACGGCAAATTAAGCATGCTAATGGTAATTTCAGTTTCAATACTGATTTAGGAATTTACCTTCAGTACTCAGATTTGAACCATTTATTTTAAAATCCAGCTACATATGTATATTTTTTTTCATAAACACGCAAAGCACCACCATTTCTCATGAAAGATACCTTATCTAAAGAAAATAATTAAAGGAGAGAAGATAATACAAATAATAAGCTTTTTGAGTTATACACTGACTATTTCTCTTTGCTGTTCTTATTAGCATATGAGAACAGTACGAAGTTCTACCGTGTCCTTATATTTTCATTCACTTTTCCACATTTGCATGGTGATGACATGTATTGTAAGTAACATCTTGCAAAAGTACAAGGGTTTTCAAGCAAAATTTTATATATTAGGTGAGTTTTTTGGCAGGGAGGGTGAAGAAGGAGACAAAACAAGTCATTTTTGGCACCAACACATCTATTTAAAACTGGATCGTAAGGGCATTTCGCCCACTCCCCCCACGTCAGGATGCTAGTGGGACAGAATGAGAGGTACCAGAAGCAGTTGAATTAGATGCATAAACCACAGTACTATCTAAAGCTCTGATAACCTCTCCAGAAGAACTTCCTGCCAGAAGGTTTATCACAACAGATTAAATATTTTCTACTGGACATTATCTGACTCTTTCAAGTAACACCATAAGAATGAGCAAATAAAATAACACCAAGCAAATACAAAGCCACTTTTTTGGTACTCCCCTGGATTCTAAGCACTAAGAAAATGCTGCTTGTATTCATCATTAATTCGGGGAAAACAGACTTTGCTGTGCATTTAAAAAAAATTAACATACAGCACACTCAGAGAATTTATCTCAGAAGTTTAAAAGAAACAGGCAGAACGATCAGCTCATGAAGGAACTGAACCATCGTATGTCCTGCATGCACACAGGTTTCCATGACTTGAGAACATCAAAGCAACAAACCTAGCGCAGTGAGACTCTATTGCCTTCTCAACACTTCTGACTGTAAAATGCTCATAAACCCTTGCCTTACCTTTGATGCCATACGCATGAACAGTGCATTCTGATCTTCTGCTGTTCTCATTTTCTCATTTTTGACTAAATCCTGAAGGCTCATACTGTCATCATCCTGAAAATATCTTACTCTTTCTTTATCTACATGAGTCGTGACCTGGAAACAAACAATGAAAATAAATATTAATCTAGTGAGAAAGATCAAGTATGAAATTCAGACCCCCAGTAATTTCAGCAAGTTTAAAGAATGAGGGATCAAGCTAAACATATCTGAAACAACTGCACTTGCTACTTCATTTGACCTAAGGAAAGGAGGGTTTTCCATTTTCTTCAGTTGTTTCAGTATGCCTAGGTAAAAATACTGCCTACATCTCTTATATCCTCAGGCTGACAGAGCTTACCACTCTGGAAAGATGCAGAATAATTCACTAAAACAGCTCATCAGTTCACAAAGATGGAATATTTTAAACAATAATTTCCATTATCTGTTTTTAAACTGTAGTTTAAAACAAACAAACAAACAAACAAGCAATTACAAACACTACTGAAAATTTGCATAAACGTGTATAAATTTGTATAAATGTGATAGCTCCACCATCTTAGAGTGCACAAAGAAACAGTTTGCCCTTCAGAGCAGAACTAAGCTAAGTACTGAAAAAGGATATGGTAGGATATGGTCATTAACCATATGCCAAAGGTGGCATCTTTCCAAGACAAAACCAATAGGAGGATTACAAATAATTCCTTATCCCCTGTATATTTCACTCCTTCATAGCACTATTGCAAACTGATCTGTCTTACCAATCAAGTACATACTAGAAATATAGAGGTACTGGATGCTCCCCCAGCCCCAAGATCAAATAGTTTACCATTGGCAAGCAAATATGCAAATGATAAAATGCTGCTCCAGCTTCCAAGATTCACACACTCCAAACACTTTCCTGTTAAGGTTACGTCATAACTTTTCTTACCATCAGCAGCATTTTTTATCAGGAAAAAAGGGAAATTAGTCACGGACACTATCTTAGAAGTATCCAGCTCTGCTAGACTTTACTATTTACAAATAGTTTATGTAACATAAACTATTTAGCTAAGAGACTGTAAGAATTTGAAAAAGAGAAAAAAAGACATTTGATAATACATTTAAATAAGCCTTAGAGTGGTCCACAGGGAAATGTAAATCTGAAAATAAACTTAATATACACTTAATAAACATGTACTCTATCACTTAATTACAATCATCATCTGAAGGGAACTTTTAACTACCTATTGACATTCTGATAAGACACTCACATTGACTATTGCATCATACAAGTGCATCTACAAAATCATTTTTGAATTATACTCCTTAATACTCACTTCTATAAAACTTACCATCTTCCTCTTTCTCCGTCCTCCTTTAGGCTCCTGTGGCTCAGTTGATGCAGTCACAGGCCATGCCCTTCCACTCTGATCTGTTCTGACAAGGATCACTTGCTCATCTTCTTGATGACTTGAGGCCTGTAACAGGTTTTAAGATATACTTTAAAACAGAGGTTAAAAAACAGACAAAAAAACAAAAGAAACACCTAATCCCACATTAAATAAACAATTTAAACCCTAAAGATTAAAGAACAAATTATTTTCTTTTTGTGTGTTTATTTTAATTATAAGAAGGTACTATTACATTACACACAGTGAAAATGAACAGGATATTGAAAATGTATCCAACCAGTCAAGTCCAGAGTAAACATGTTTTTCTAAAAAGAATTAATCTTCTATTCTTGGTTCTTTCTCATAAAACCTCATTCCCAAAAGGAACACAATGCTTCTGAATACTTCAACAGAGAATATTAAATTAATTTATACAACCAACCCAATGGTGTACTCCTGAAAAACATCTGTTGTTCTGAACATTGTTAAGAAAAATGAGCACTTAACTTTCTGGAACAAAAAAAAATAATAATAATAATTAAAAAAAAAGAATAAAAAATAAAAATGTGAGAGCTTCTTGATTACACTAGACAACAAAGATATTTAGGGAAGAGATGATGAAATTAGAGCAAAAAGGGGACATCACTAACTCTGGTGATATTAGGACAGCCTTTGTCAAGTCATATAAGCAACCTTATTAATCTCAATTTGAAGCTACCTTCCACTGTCCAACTGATGCATCTACTTTACATGTGCCATTCCTCCCTAACAAAAGCCTGTTCCAGAAACCCCAATCAAAACAGAAAGTTCTGGAGTATGCAGACTCAAACAGCTTATATTTCACAGGAATAGGCACACAGAGGTAGAAGCTGTGGAGAAAAAAACTGTCTAGATATACTAAACTTTCCACGTCCGTACCACCAAAGGCAGACCTCACTTTTGGCACTGCAAATTAAGCTGTCCAAGGCTGACCTGGCTCGAATAAGGATGGAGAAGAGGAGCACTTTGCACACACTTTTTCAGAACAGTTGTTTTCTCTCTCCTGGGAAGGACCAGGGGAAAAGAGGTGATTAACTGCAATAGGGAAAAAGGTTGTGCATCTCTAGATGAAAAAAGTACAAGAAGATGAAGAAAGACTATAGAATGAGGGGAATAGAGCAGGATGTACTTCCAACTTAAATGGATGACAGATGCAAAAGGAGTGTTCTATGTATGACAAGCAGGTAACCAGTACAAAGAAGTCAGGTAAAGCCACCAGGGCAATAAATTCCAACCGGCTCCCATTTACACAACATGAGATAATGCTGAGGACAAACATTAAGGTGTAACACACTGAAGTCAGCACTTACAGGGTTTGTCAGCCTGGTTTTTTTTGTTCAGAGTGTCCTGACACAGGACACAGAGACTGACCATGACATCTTTAGATTTAATATTCCAGAGAACTGACAAGGCACACAAGACAGTAATCCTTAACTTCAGAAGTTTTTTTTAATAAAAAGATAATAAAAATGGTGAAGTGCTCCACCCAAGGGAAATTCAAAGGCGCGTATTATGAACAAAGATGAATCCAATACATCAGATGTGCCAGGCATGATTATTCTGAAGATTAAAGCAGTTACTAGAGCTGAAAACATCCTTCAGAAGACAAACTCTTGTCTAAATATAACTTTGAAAAGTTTTAAATATAAATTGTAGAAGTATATTGTACCTTACAAAAAAAAATGCAAGGCAAAAATTCATTTGGAAGAGGCTCTTATTAATACACAAACTATTTCTCAACTTCAGAAGTAGAAAGCTTTCTGATGGAAAAATAGGAAATGATCAGGTGGCTACTGCAGTATGAAAAGATGGCAAATGAGTTAAAAAAAAAAAAACAGTGTTCCTTTTCCACTTAAAAAAAAAAAAAAAAGAATCATTTTCAAACCAAAATGTCAGAAAAGTTTTTCAAGAAAGCTTCCATAAAAAATGATTGTCTCTGGAGTTTCCAAAACAATTCCAAAGGATACATCCACATACTTGGCACTCACTGTATCACTTACGTAGGACTCAGTACAAAGACAGCAGATACAAAGACCACCACAAGCTCTGCATTTTCACCAGCTATGAACAACAGCCTGCATGCCATTCCCTAAAAGCCTTCACAGGTGCAGGTGACCCACTGCTGCTGTCACCACAGCTGAAACGCACCACGTGCCACCTCACTGTGCTCACACCAACTGCTTGGCCTCCACAGACATTCAGCAAGCGTCAGTGAATGTCAATGGGTGCCATGTTTTCCACATGAAGGAACTGGGAGACACCTTTGCTACATAGGCACTCCCACCTCAGGTGCCATTTTGTCAGACTGTCCCTCTGCTGCCATCTGTTGCACAGCAACAACATAACACAACATCGGTGGGAAGTTTCAACCTCTACTGCCATACCACCAGCATCTATCTGCCTCTGACATGGTGGGCCAATATCATAAAATAGGAGGCATCTCTTTCAGAGCAGTCCTTGTGCTATTAAAGTTTGTAAGGTGAAGTAATGACTCTTAGCAGAGCCAGTCTTTTCTGAGGAGCTTAAAGGCATGCAGTTATCTAGCTGAAAGAGCATGCTGAGAACTTTTATCTGTTTAACTATTGTCAGTTATCTCATTAACTCTGGAACGCACAATCAAATCTCATACGTAACAACCACTAGCATTCTTTACCCCCTGCTCTCATATCCTCTGTTGATTTTCAACTTTTTGCATTCCCATGACTATATGACACAGTATATGCTAAGACCCGTTCGTCACAGCACAAGAGTAATGACTTTCCTTCCTTCTCACACTCCGTGAAACCATCCAGAAGACTTCACAAATATTCCCAGGAACTGCACCATCTTTCAGAAAAGAGGCATTAATTATCTTCTTGTGCTTTATATAGAGACACACTTTGAGAATGGATTTTGCTTCTGTTTTAACTTGCTTTTAGAATCCAGAAAGCATATTTATCCCTTCATAAAGTGGCATGGCATTCCGTGCTGTTAGAAAGCTTACTTTAAATCTCCCAGCTTTCCAAATGACTTCAACTACATCACACTATATTATAAATACAAAATAGATGGCTATATCAATGTATTAATTTTTCCTGGATAGTTATTGTCAGATAAATAACATCTTAGAAGTACAATACAAACTTTTAAAATACATGTTGAAGTAGATTAAATATTATATATACTATTATATGTTAAAGTTGAAACTGCAGAAGAGATTCAGTCCCCATTCCTGAGCCATGTGATGATCAGTACACAGGCAATGCAACTTACAACCCTAACAAGCAACGTTTGGGTGAATTTACTGAACTAGACTGTAATTCTTTGTTGCCATTAATGAAGGAACATGAATTTCTAGTTCAGGCCAATTAAACATGCAAAGTACAAAGCACTTCTCAAAAATATACAAGACGCTACAGAGTAATTAATACCCAAGTGAATGAAACAATGAGAAAGATAAATGCTTAAAATTAAATAATAAAATGCAGTTCAATAGAAGATTTTTTAACTCTCCTGAGATGCTGTCTGTTCCGTAATCTAGTAAGAAGAAATGGAAAAAGCTTTGCCTCCATACATGCAGGGACATTCAAGTGCCTAAACAAAGGGAGGGCCATCATCCGAGACAGTATCCGCTTAATTGGAACTGGGCTTCAGTATTAGCAGTCAGGAGAATAAAATACATTTTAAGAGGCAGCACACTGCAGGATTGAGAGCTGTGCAAGCCAGGAAAAACAAACTTTTTTTTTTTAATTACTGAGCAAACAAAAAGCTAGAGACTGTGTGAAACAAGTTGTCTGCACATCCTTACTAAGCGCTACACTGGAGTGGGACCGGCACAGTGTAACAAGGGAAATACAAAACTTGCCAATGTCTTCAATAAAGACAAACCACAACCACCACACCAGCTCTTTGCTTGCAGAAAATTAGGTGCTGAACTAATTTGTTGTATAACCTGTTTATTTCTCTTACAGTCTATGGCCAATGGAAATGCCTTGAATCCATTATCTCTAATTGGTCTAAGGGTTTCTCAGCATGCTGGACTACAGCTAGCTGTTTCTTCCATCCTCTGTCTCCTATTATTTTCAATCGTTTTCTCCATTTTCAATCAATCTTTTTCTGACTCCTCAGATTGTGATTACGCACAATCACTGGAGTTTCCAGAAGGATGTGGCAGCCCTGCTCAGGCTCAATGGTTACTTTATTTGTAACCATTTTTATGAGCAGAGCTCACCAGTGTATTCATTGCTCTGAGTGCCCACTAAGTAAGTTTCAAGGTACCCAGGCTACTCCTCATTTGTTGTGAATACCTGAACCACCCACTTCAAAGGTAATAGCTAATAAATTGACAGATACAGCATTCTCCTAACAAGACCCAGGTTTGCATCTCACAACAAGAAGTTAAAATGGTCACAGGTCCATACAGCAGACAATAGTATAAATTATACATCTTTGATTTGGGTTCCTACAGAGAAGAACAAAAGAAAGGAAGATGAAGGGAAATAGCAGAACGAGGAAGTAAGAGCAAGCTTCAGCCCAGGTTAGAAATTCAGTGTTTTGGTAAACCAGCAATCAGCATCAATGACCAACTTCTAGAAGTACCAGATGAATGCTTAAAGATTAAAAAAAAAAAGGTATTGTTTTTTGTTTTGTTTTGTTTTAATGAGATCAAGAATAATTAGCAACTTGCATTTAATAAAGGAGAAAAAGCAGAAAATCTAATGCAGGCTGTAACACCAGGCCAAAGTATCCAACAGAATATCTTTATTAGGTTCTGCTATGTTTATACATAAAGCGTGAGATGAAAAAAAAACAACAACGTAGGTCCTAATTCATAAGTGAAAGCATTCATTATTACAAAAGGATTAGACACATAACTGCTAATTTATCTCTTTTTTAATCCAGTTGGTGACATCAGTTAATAACATGTTATGTAAAAATCCAATTTTGTCTTATAAAATTGTTTGCCCTTTAAATTCAATTTTTTGTTCTTGTATTCTGAAAAATGGAATTTCATCTAAACTGCTCATTGCTCAGAACAACAAACCTGACTGCCTTGTTCATTTCCTCTT